CTGTAAATAATAATTACTTCAGATGACTTATTCTATTAGCTGATTGTTTAGATTTTACACAAGAGAAGCTGCATGACCTACAATCGGATATACTATTAAATGTCATTGTAGGCATTTAATAGTTAAATGCATGATCTAGCAGAGTAAAACCTGACCTCCTGGTGACATTAAAATTATGCAGTATGTGCACTCATAAATCACAAGACAGCATGGTTGCTAAACTGCTTTCAATGCTATTATTTTGTGTGATCAACAAAAGACAACACGGTAGTAGGGTAAAAGACATGCAAATGTCACAGGACAGATTAAATAATAGAACCTTTGTACATAAACATTATTATTATAAATTAGCATAGAAAAAATAAATATATGCATCATATTTAAAAGAATATTCGGTTGCTGGAAAAAGAAAACTGGCTTTGAAAATGTTTTATTGTAAAAGGATAAACTGCAGGTGAGATGAGCAAATGTTCCATACATTGTGTGTCCTGAATCAGCCTTGTCAATTCACAGTAAGCTTGTAACATTGCAGGGGGATAAGACCCTTAGGGGTTGATTTACTAGAGGAAAATGGGCTGTCCATTTTGCAAGCGATTTTCCCTTTGCAAGGAGATTTTTCCTTAGCTTAGTGAATGAGGTAAACTCTGCTGACCTCCATCATTTAATCATGTGGAAGCAAATTTTTTTTTCCTTGCATGTGATTGGATGATCTTTGAAAATAAATTTTCACCACATTCACTAAGCTAAGGGAACTTTTCCTTGCAAATTGAAGATTCCCTTTGATCAACCCATTTGCCTTTGGTAACTTTCTATTTATAGGCATCATATCATAGAAGTATAATTGAGTCACATTCAGTAAGAATGTGCAAAGTATAATGGGTATCATCAAAATACAGTAAACCATTGCCTCCAATCAGAATCCGTATTTTACTTATGTGACTACAGTAAATTGGGATGCAAATGGTTGCTATAGATTACTACCCTGTGTACTGCATTGGTGAACCAAACAGAAAATGAATACCTATTGTTAGTGGCCCCACTTTTGTCTCCCTAATGTTTCATGATAAAATATATGAGAATAAACAAGACAACTACAAATGACACAATTTTATACACAGTCTTTTTAATTTTATAAAAGATCATTCAACTGTATATTTATCATAATTTATGTTTTCTTTCTGAAACCAAAGAAAAGAAAAATAAATCTACTAAATTGGATACTTGATAATGCAAGGTCTTTACATTGAAATATATAGCTTTATGATTGACAAAATGAATATTCTGCAAAACAAATCCAAACTCTGCATCCATACTTGATAACTTTTCATTCTTGATAACCTCTAATATGTAACTCATCTCTGTCACAGTAATATGAAGGAACAACACAGGTTTTAAAGATGTGATCCAACATTGGCTACAAATAGAAACATTGCTGCAGTTTTGTTAGCTGGACATTATTACCTAGCATAAAGAATCAGATATGCTTTTGTGTAGATCAAAAGATAGATACTAATATTGTTTACAATCAGGCTGTTTTGGCATGCTAGGAGTTTTAGATGTGTAGGTTTTCTTAAGTTGATCATGGCAAAGGGCAAAATGAAAAAAAAAAAAAAGAATGTGTTGGTTCCAATGAGTTACTGCACTCTGCACTGATTTACCTATTGGGAAGGTGGTTTATGTATCCTCCAGGTGTATTGTAATGTTAATTTTTGTACTAAAGACTGTTGAATGATTTGTTGTTACTGCCCGAGCTACCTAACTCTCCTATACTTATCCCTCAAGACTAGTTGCACTGATGATGTAGCTTGTGTTTTGGTCCATTCATCTTACACCTTCAAGCTTGCAATCTTTAAAAAGATCAACAAATCCACTGGAGCTGATGCCCAGATCCCCACACACTCTCTTTCTTAAAATAGTTGTGATTCACTATGCACATTTTCAAGTTAAATGGTTAATATAAATGTGCCAGGTTTTTAGGTTTGTCTTGAAACTGACAAGCTACGCTTCAAAGGTTAAATATCAAAACAGATAGATGTTTTATGTTTTATATTTTCATTGAAGGTGCCATAAGATCTAAGATGATCCTCAGTTTTGATTGGGTGATATGGATTGACATTGAAATGCTTATGACTATATGTATACACTATATATGTGTGAAGAGAACAGGAAAAGGTAAGTACAATTGTAACAACTATAACGGAGATATAAATAACCATAGTTAATTTCAGAAATTAATACATAAGAAAATTATTTTTCAATATTTTGCAGTCCTGAACGAAAAAAAATGCCATGTTGGAACACACCTTTAAAAAAACAGCAAAAACATTCAGCAAAATCTAAAATATAAATAAATAAAATATTTTTTGTAACTTTAACAACAGATAACACTAATTGTATTGGATGTCAGTGATATAAATGTGGCTTAGAAAAAATATATATTATCTTCTCTTTAGAAATAGCTTAGATTAGATAAAAAGTAAATAATATTAACGTCTCAGAAATTGATGCATCTTAATCACCAGTTTAAAAAAAAATTACTTTTTTTGTAGCTAGGGAATGTGAAATGTTTTAAATAAAGGAATACAATGTTCTGTGCTGGATGTATTTGCATATTAAAGAAATCAGTCATTAAAAGTAGATAATATTGTGCTCTAAAGAATTATTGGTGATTGTACCGTGCTACAGACTACAGGGCCTCATTAATCTAAATGTATAAAGAACCTAGAGAAGTGGCTAAATATGCTAGTACTATTATTGGAAATAAGAATGTAAAAAAATATATATAAGTCATGCTGTCACAATAGCAAGCACAAAAATAATACATCAATAAACTATATGTATATATGCATTCTATGCAAATATATCTTACAGTTACATGCAGTGTAATGCTTGAAGGAGTGATCATATTTGTTTTTACTAAAATACATAAGAAATAATATAGCAAATATCCTGAGATGCATTTGTTTACAGTATTTAACTATTTGGATTAAATCTGTTTACAAACTCTGTGGACAAAATACAATTTGTGCAACCGTAGGCGCTTAACACTTCATTTTTAATGTGGTGCACTAATAAGCCTTCTTTTAATTAATTTTTGACAATTATATCAATGGCTATAGTGGCTATCTATTATTGCCCAATGTTTTCTTGGAGGTAATTTATGAACCAACATCTCAGTGTAAACTCTTGCATGAAGATATTGTGACATATACATCTATATTGGAAGCCATTGTGACTATTTTATGATGACATCTATTATACAGCTGCCTGTTCTGCTTGAAAAATAATGGCCTGCTTTAATCTAACTGACTAACACTGGTATAAAGTTATAGTTTTAAAAGCCAGCCCTAAACTTTATGCATTTGTCATCAGTTGATGGCCTACTCTGGCACAATGGACAGTGAAACAGGTGATATGATATGCCTCGTTTAATTACAAAAGAGGAATATCATAAAACTTCAGTGCAAAACTTTCAGTAGACAATCCTTAAACAAGATGAGTGCTGAGAATTATATGATAGGCTATCTCCTAATTGTTCTGGAATTCTTCTGTGGTAGGTTTGAGCTTTTCTCGGTTACTGTGCTGGATGCAAGATCTCTGTTATTTGTTGATCATGTGCACCGTAAACTCTCTCACTATCTCACAGTTAAACATAGAGGAGTAAGAATAAGGATTAGTACATCTTAATCTCAAGCTGTGGTCCTCCTCAAATAAGTAGATTGCTCCTTTGGGATACAATAGGACATAAATATTTACACGTGAAATGTATCAGTAACAGCCATTTTACCGAAAACCAAGTACTGTTGAGGAACAATTTGAAGTTTGGAGTTTACCTGTCAGTCTGTAATAAGCTGAAGGACCAAGCTGTAAGTACGTGGATCATTCTGAAGGAGCAAGCTGTAGGTAATGGCATATTGGCTGCCCTACTATCCATGACAGTATAAAAGTGTTCAGGTAGTGTCCTGAAGTTGAGCTTTTCCTGCTGGACATGAGCCATCTTAGGCCATATGAACAATTTCAGCAGATACCTGCAGGGAATTTCTCAAGGCAGGTGTAATTGGAAGACTCAGGGACAAAGTCAGAGCACACCATAAAATCTTTCATGATTTAACATATTAATATTTGTAATGTTCATTTGTGCGTCACACAAAAAAACTATTATGTTTGAGCAAAAGTATTTCAGAAATAATACCTCATAGGACATTAAATATTTAAGCATTGTCTTTAAAAATAGGCACAATGGCACAGAAACATGATTCAAGAGTATATTTTGTTTGTTTCGTAAATTTCCCCAACTTCATGATATACCATGGAGATTAAATTATTTAAATATTTAAGTGATTTATAGGACTGGCCTGCTGAAAAATATACTATTATGTGTAATATTTAGGATATTCACCAGGAAATCCATAAATTAGTTCAGGGTCAGTGCTTTAAAATGGATTCCCTTATGCTGTTGATATGAATAATTACTGCATTTTCCGATGAGCGTTAATAAAACTGTCAGTGCCAGATACGATCATAATGAATGATAATAAAAAGACAAATGAAAACACAAGAAACATAAGCATAAAAAGATGACCCTTTAAGATAAATGTACTCCAAAAATGTCCTTAATAAACAGCATTGGTCAATGAAGCACAGTGCAGTCGTTTTACCAACTACAGTGGCAGCTCTATTTAAAAATAAATTGAAAAAACAATGATGTTAGAAATTAAACATGTGTCTCAAGCAGTATTTCAAAAGTCCCAAAGGCATAAACTTCTTTCAAGGAAGATCTGCATTGTTCAAAGCTTAAAAACTGTCCTTGTGTCTTGTTCTTGAAAAATTGTCCATAGTCGCATAATATGCTTACTCTTTTTATATGAACATGTGCCAGCACAAAGGTGAGTGTGTGCATACATTCATGTCAGTACAGTGTATGCACATGAAAACTTCCTTCTTCCTTTGCATACAGTGAACAAACAAGATATTTCTTGACTATGTCATGGCATAGTTTGTTAGTTGACATAGTATAACCAATAGATTAGGTTGAAAAGTGAAAAAGTAACTGGAAAGATCATCCTAGACCACCTGTCTATAGCATTCACATCTGTTAGGTCTGGAATTTTAATTTTTAGCTGCGAAGATCTCCTCCTTAGATGATTTTTCTTGCCATGTGGTGCTGTTCTGTCCACTGTGCGCCGACCAAGTCCATCTCGACTCACACTTTGCTTTCTATACTGAATCCCTGAGTTGTCAAAAGATGTTGTTGAATTCCTGGAATCTGTAATGCTTGTGGTAATTTCATTTCCAGTGACTTCATTATGGATTTCAAGAGTTGTTAGGAGTATGTTCCCATGTGCATCCACCTTTAAAAAATACAGCTGAATTAGTGCCCAGTGTATTAATGTTCAGACAAACAGACCAAAAAGTTTGCTTCCACTGCTGCAAATGATCAAATGCTACATTGTTTTTTTATGTCAATATTAAAACCTGTGTAATATTAACTAAATTTACTTTCTATGTTACATCACAATAGGACTCTAGCTTAGATCACTTTGTGTAGGAACACAAGTGAGTCTTGACACCATTCCTGCACCCACCTCCTATGAAACAAAGGTTTTTCAGTGCTGTTTACACTAGCTTGGTGGACTATGGGGTCTATTCACTAAGCTGCCGAAGGATCTAGCCATAGCTTCGGCTGATCCTTCAGCTAGCTTGGGCCCTGGGACCCCTTCGGTTCAGGAGAACCGAAGGGCTGCTGTATGGGCTATTCACTATAGCCCATACAGCTCCCAAAGTTGGCCGAGCGGCTCAGTCGAGCCAAAGGCATATGCTTCGGGTCAACTGAGCCGCAGTGAAAGCTGAAGCTGGCCGAATGGCCGGCCATTGGTGGCCCACAGCCTGCTTCTGACAGCTGTGCAGAGCCAGCCGTCATCTCACGTCTGGCTCCGGCCACTTTCAGAGATCAGCGTCCCTGGCAACCAGAGACGCTGTCATTACACATTGAGAACCCGGCCAGGCCGCTATGATATCACAGCGGCCTCTCCGGGTTCTAAGTGTGTAATGACAGATGGCGTCCCTAGTAACCAGGGACACCATCTGTCATTACTCTCCCGGACGCTCTGGGAGTCTAATACGGCTCCCGGCCGCCCAGGAGAGAAACACTTTCTCTCGGAAAGGTTTACTCTGCTCGATCGATGCCACCCGATGTACAGCTGATTTCAGCCGATATACGGCTGAAATCAGCCGTACAAGCCTGAAGTGAATAGCCGAACAGCGTACGGCTCACTTCACTTCGGGTCGGTTATTCACTCAGCTACCATCGGCAGCTTAGTGAATAGACCCCTATATGTCCATTATTACTTAATACCACTACTAGGATTATAAGTACAGGCACAATATTGGGTTTTGATGACCAGTGAATATTTGGTGAATGTCATATTAACTGCTTTATAAATATGCCCATTACTTTTTTTTTCAGGCATGACTTTTGATTTACTGAAGATTGCTAATTAGAAGCATTATTCCCCTAAAGCAAAATGCCAACCATGTTTTTACATTTTTGCATATAGTAGCAAAGAATTTGAACCGCTATCAAGTTTTTCTTGCTTTCTAGGTCTCTGTCAGCAAAATGTTCTAATACTTCCTGGCCTGGTGACAAAAGCAAAATCACATCAATATGTCACATACAGCAATACAACCTAAAAGAGGTTCTAAACCTCTGCCAATCTACTAGAAAATATGCTTGGTTTTCCTAGTAGTACGGCAGGGAGTGAAGGGAAATTTCCCAAATGGAGATGTGGACAGCAATAAAACTCTGACTGAAGTTCTAACCCTTCCCCATTCTATACAAAACCTAAAATATGGAGTTCTACTGTCTCATCCTCCCCGTTGATGCTAATATTCTGTTCTATAATCTCTTCATGCAAGTATGTACCCTCATCTAACCGCCAGGTACTATTTCCTGGGCTGTAACATCAATTATAATGATTTTGATTCTTCAGTGGCTTGAAATTTGTACTGGGCAATGTTCATATGACAGATGCCTCCAGACAAGGTTCTCAGTCTTGACTATTATACCCTTATATTCCAATGGTATGGAAAGAAAATATTTTATATAAAAGCACAAATGGGAAGACTCTATTGGGTCTATTTATTAGTGTGCTCACCCAAAATTCACACAAAGTTAACCCAGGATTCTCTAAGTTATCTAAATCTTGGGTGAAAACATTTACAAATAGATCCCTTTATATTTCTGATACAACATATACATTTTCTCTTTAATATTTTACATAATTGTTTTGTTTAAAAAATTTTTTTTTTACATAACTGTGTTTGGTACAATTAGGGATTTTTGGTAGTTCCCATAATAATCAGACAGGCAGGCATAAATAATATCCCCAGCTTACTACTGTTTAGTGAGCATGGAGTTTAGTTCCTGTGATTATCTGCTGAGTTTACAATGCTGACAAAAGTGTCAGACCTGAGTAAGCCAGGCGTAAAGTATATGTTATTTCTCCTTCTTATCAGACCGGAACTGATTAAATAAATGTTCTGACATTATTGTTATTAAATGAAGGAACTAGCATCATATGGTAAAGTGCGTAAAAGCATTACCTGCGTTGATGAAATTGAAATTCCACTCAAGTATTAATTATGTTTACTGCTGCAAAATGTGTACATGTTTGAGTTTTTCAGAAAACATGATTATTTTCAATGATCTGGGTTGCTCACATTATTAGTATCTTCTCGGTCCATATTGCAAAACTCAAAACAACTGACTTTTTACTTTTATAAGCCATAAGAGAAATATATACTAAATTCAGTTGATTGAATTCAGCAAGAGGAAATCCAGGTCTGTTTAAGTTTATCAGTGACAAGGTTACAATACTATAGCTGAAATGGTTGCATTAACTCATATAAATGGGTTACAACAATGACCAGGTCCTGAGACAGAAGAAGTCCAGGCCGGCCTTTATATTCTGTTTTTGAAGTCCAGTTATACTACTGTTAAGAACAACTTATTTTTCAGAAACATTGCATAAAGTATGTGTTTATTTACAGATTTAAGATATTTAGAAATCATCCATAAACATAACAGTAGCAATAGGCTGCACAGCAAAGCTTATATAAATGTGAAATGTGTTTGTAGTTTTACCTACGTAGTGTAATTATTTGTAGAGCATTTATCTGATGAATATATATTTTTTCGCTTTATGCATAATGGTCCTTTAATAAATTTTGGAGAATTCTGACCTATAGAAACTCATTTGGAAGAATATGTACCTAGAGTACTTTAGGAAAGCTCTGGGGCGGTCACATCCATTCATTATTCCTGTGATAGCTTTTATAAAAAAAAATTTGACAAAAAATACAAAAATAGTAAATAAACACACTTGAATATGTAAAGACTTATACCATACCCTATTGCTTTCAATTTTGTTGCGATCATTATTTGCCTTGGCTGTTTTCTCTGCCAGCTTCTTTTGCATTTGCGGGCCTCTCCCAAAGAAGATATAGTTAACAAAGGCATATTCCAGTAAGGCCAAGAACACAAATACAAAGCATCCCATCAAATACATGTCAATGGCTTTTACATATGGGATCTTAGGCAATGTCTCCCGGAGGTGAGTATTGATGGTTGTCATAGTCAGGACAGTAGTTATTCCTAAATAAACAAGAAAATAATTATTATTATTATCATTATTGATCTCCTGATAATATACTATTAATGCAGAATGCCTGGTTGTCACTGCGCAGTGGATCTATAGTTATATGGTTAGAAACAGACATTAAGTCATTAAGAATGTATTTTAAAAAATCAATAATAAATTGCTTAGACACTACCAAGATGATCAAAAATAATCCAAAATGAATATCAGTAACATTGTCTGGATTCCACCCACAGAAACCATTTGATATGTTTATGGATACCTGGTACCGCATCATGTTATTATTAATCAAAGACAGGAATGGTTTGTTGTCAGGTGATTCAATGGAAGTTCTGCAAGTACTCTACTGTTAACATTACAGTGGCAAACAATGAGCAGGTTTTAAAAAACAAAGGACTGATACACAAACAATAGGCCAAAGATAACTGAAACAGTTGCCAGAGCATCCACTTAGGTTAATATTTCCAATGAAGCAACTAATCTTATTGTTCACCAACTGCTCCACTTTTGCTTCAGTTTACACAAATCAGAGACAAAGAAACTCATTAACAGAAAACAGACTGAGGAATAAACAAAAATGAACTTGTTACCCAGGGCAACAAATTACATGCCCAGTCAGAAAACAAAACAAATACTTTAGTTGCAGTTGGACCTTGCTTGGTAGAAGTTATTTTGTAGAACAGCATGTTAACTACTCTTTTTGGCATGTATAAAGTAATATAGTCAGGCAAACTGACTAGACTTTCCTAAAAATGTAGCTTCTGTTTATAAAAACTGGTGGTAAAAATAACCAAAATCATTGCCAAAAAAAGCATTTCATTACAAAAGTCAACCAAATTAGATATTAGCCTTCAGATGAACGGTTTGAGTCAGGATAAAAACTTAAAATTCTGATGACTATTATAAGAACTGACTTTTGTATTAACTAATAAGAGATCCCATTGTGTTTGACCATGTTTACTTTAAAATATTACTTATATATTACTATTTTGATAACAAAAACATGATGCAAGTGGCCGGAGCCAGCCGTAAGTTCATGGCTGGCTCTGCCCAGCTGTCAGAAGAATGCTGTCAGCTGGCCAATGGCCGGCCTATCGGCAAGCTTCGGCTTTCACCGCAGCTCAGCCGAGCCGAGGCACATGCCTTCGGCTCGACTGAGCCGCTCGGCTAAGTTCGGGTGCTGTACGCGCTATTGTGAATTGCCCATACAGCAGCCCTTCAGTTCTACTGAACCGAAGGGGTTCTGGGGCCGAAGTTAGCCAAAGGATCGTCCGAAGCTACGGCTAGATCCTTCACTGCTTCGTGAATAGACCCCTAAGTATCATTATTAGAAGCAAGAACCTGAAAAAGTGAATATTTATCAAACATACACATTCAACTTGCAGAGATTGTTGCTATCCATAATAACATCATTGCTAATGTGAACGCTTTTATTGCTTGTATTGTAAAAATTATCATGGCAGATTTGCATCATTTTCACAGCACTATTTTCTTGCACATGAATGTGCCACATATAGGAATGCTTTTATTTTTATTTATCAAGCTGCCCAAGAAGAGTATGGGAAACAGAATCCCACATACAGTAGAATTGTATTAATCTTGGATTTGCTGGAAATTACTACATAATATTAAATATATCAGTGAGCAAAATGTAATATTTGCAGCGACCTGGCAAGTTCCACATAAATCATTATAATTGCTCAGAAATGTTAGATATTAACTAGATGTCTGCTCAAAAATAGATTCACTTATTAACAGCTGGCATTGCGTCCAAACTGAAGGCATTGTCTAGTTTAATAATTAGTTGCATAATTATATATTTGCAGTAAAAGGAAGTCATATATACTGTGTATATATACACACACAAATGAAAACAAATATCCATAAAAACAATTTGACTATTTCTCTTTCCTACTGTGTACTACATCCAGAGTAGTCACTCTTTTCAGGTGTGGAAATACTCTTACAGAAGATTAGCATGGAATATTGGTCTAGTAGCTAGGGATGCACATCTCATTATGAGGTGTATGTCTCTGTGTGTGTGTGTGCATTTACACTGATCATTAATGTAAAAAGGGGGCATTTGTTTTGATAATTGTTTTAAAGGAGGCCCCTCCACTGGCTACCAATTTACAGGGGTCGTTGATAATGAACACAAAAGCAAATGGACTTTCTAATGACCGCTTCAGTAACATAGGGATTTTTCATGTGACTACTGATGTAAAGGGAAAACTTTTCCTGCGAGCATCAGTGCATAAGGAACAATTTTTATATAACCAGACTGACGCCCAATGTCGAAAGAGCATTTCTACTGACCGCCAATGTAAACAGTATTTTTAATGGACAGGCCTATCCAGTAATCATCTACTAAAGGAGAGTTTTATTGGGAGGTTGATTTGTGCAAAACTAAGTTTAAGGTTCATGGCAATGGTAATTGTTTCCTGCATTTAAATGTAAATTTCCATTCCTATCACTGAATAATTTAGGGAACAGGGATGCATGACAATCACAATCATCAAGTAATTATTGTTACTGAGGTAGTGAAGTCAGCATGTAACTGTTCAGCTAACGGCTCTATTGTGCACGCATGGCTGCTAGTGTGTGTATGCCGGACAGTGCTGATGCACTAGATAGAGCCAAATTGCAATGACTATGGGAATAATCTGGCTGCAAAAGATATTTGTTTCCACTGACACTTCTTTCAGTAGGCATGCCTTTACTCTTTGACCTTGAATGTATGGGAGAATATCAGACACCTCCAGCATTGCTTCTATCGTAAAGCTTCAGTAGTTAACTGACTGAAAATATCTTCTTGTCTAAAGGCCTTCTTCTCTAAGGAGGGTGGCTGCTATTGTAATAGATGCCCCATAGACATCCTGATTATTGCACAATTCTAATAAAATACCAAGTTCTGGTATACTTCTGGTATACTTTTCTTGCACATTAGTACAATTTTTTAAGCCTACATAAAATATCATCTTTTTTACTTTTAAGAATTCTAAGGTAAAATATTGAATTGAACTTTCTCCCAGGATCCACTCACAGTTAATAAGCACATGGACATCCAAATTTCATACCTAGTGCAACTCTTGCTGCTGATGCATCATAGTTGATCCAAAATGATACCCAGGATAATATTGTAATCAATATAGATGGCATGTAGGTCTGAAGAATAAAGTATCCAATATTTCTTTTTAACTTGAAGCTCAGGGAGAGTCTAGGATATGAGCCTGTAACAGAAAATAAATAAATAAGATGATCATAGTTGGTAGCTGAAATTATACACTAACATAATACTATGCTCTTAAATAGGTATTTGTGACACTGTATTCAGAAAAGATAATGAAAATGCTTTTTTTCTTTTGTAGCTATATGCCTTTCACAGCAACTAATTCCAAAATGGTTTTCAAGCTAACAGCATTTGGGAATATGATAAATGTCTGCATATGTTATTTCATTAAGGTTTCTGCCAATATCTTTCACAATGAAATATTATATGTCTATTTTTTATTTAAGATATTTACCAGAAGAAAACAATACACTGTGCACTATTAATTTCTGTGAGTCAGAACCTAAAAGCAAGATAACTTGATACAGCAGATTCATTACTACTCAAAGGTTCAAAATAATGTTAGAAAGCAAAGCTCTTTAAATTTGGCAAATCCAAGCTGTAGGAATCAGGTTTGAGTACTGAAACTTGGTAATAGATATGCAAGTAATCACAGTAAATTAGAGACAAGGATATCAACAGGCAGGTACATGTCTCAATGATCGATTTTACCCACAGTGATTAAATAAATTGGAAGGAGCATGTTGGAAAATTGTTCTTGATCAAACAAAATCTGTGAAAGTGAAACAGTGAAAGTGGTTTTCGTTTGCAAAAACTCCATTAATTCCAAAAAATAAAAATGCAAGTCAAACCAAATTTTGAACAACAATCGCCAAGCCTCTGATGGTATTATCGAACGTTCTGACAGGATTTTTTGCACAAATGTTCATGTGAAAATCTACCCTTACTTTAGTCCATAGATGGCCAATTTGAGCAAGGTATGAGTAGGTATTGTTGCTAAGCACTAGACATGCACATCATACAAATTTGTTTCGGATGGAACAAACGAAAAATAAAAAACATTTCCATTAATTTCACTTGATGAAGTAAATAATTATGCTGTTTCATATTCAGAGGCAATGAGCCTCCGAATATTGGCTCCTGCTGCGTTTTGCGCATGCGCAGTGCCATCTTGTATACACCAAGATGGAGATGTCCATACATGCAGATAATGTCCGCCACCGAGATGGTGGCACGCATGAAAAACGCGCCGGTGAACAATATTTGTTCGGCAAACTAATTATTTTATGCCCGAATATGTTTTTCAGATATTTGGGCATATAACAATTTGTTAATTCGAATTCAGACGAACTGCCAAATCAACGGAATTCCATTGATTTGCAAGTTCGTCCGCATCCAAATGCATATGTGTACTAAGCACTAAAGAGAATACTCACATAACAATAAAATTGCATTGTGTTATTTTTCATACATTTTATTTCCAACCAATGACTATGTGGGGATGTGGAGGGCCGCAATGTTTACATTGCTTTATCTTAATATTGTTGTTGTTAATATTTATTTTTGTAACTTTATTCTGCCTTCAACATTTAAAAGTGTAATTTCATAACTTAATTTAAGAGGGTGGGTTTAGGGGCGGAGTTAAGGCCGAGGCAGGGTTGGGGTTAGGTGGGGCAACTGGTGGCGAGTAACTCTTAAGGCCTGGCTAGTAGCTCAGGACTTGAAATTTTGAGCCCTGACATATATCATTTGAAACATGCATAATATTTCAAAACTAGCCTAGCGCTAGCATGCCAAGCCCTCTCTAATGTGTTAAAGCATTGTATTACGTACAGGTTTTTTTACACATCCTGTCATTTTCAACTTTGCAGCTTAAAGTGTTAGTGAGTAAGACTACTGCTATAAACGTGCTGCAAGAATAGCCAATGCTATTGTGCTTAGTACATGACTAATGGGGTCCATAGAAAGGAAATAGACACAAGCACTCAAAAATGGAAAGTGAGTTTTGTAGAGTTTGGATTAAAGTACCCTGCAAGGTACAAAATAGGAGTATAGCATCATGACCTGATTCTGGCGTCACCACATGAATCCTGAACAAAACTAATATAAAAGAATAGCGCATTTTATATAGCAATTTGTGTGTAACTATCACTTTTCTCTGTGTATGGCTGCAAAATGGTTAGCACCGCCAGCCCAAACTAGCCATTGAAGCAAATGATTAATTGCTATCACTGGAAACTGTAAGTTCCTATTTTCCCTCAGGTCATTATGATACAATAGTGATCCTCTCCCTATCTCTCTTGCGCTCTTATGTAACCTAGAAACCCAAACACACCAGCAGCTACTGCAGCTACTGCGGTTTTCTATACTTATCTTGAAGCTTTAAAGGGAAACAGCACTCAATATGAAATCATTTAGTTTGGTTTTCTGTTTCTGCAATGTTTGCACAGAAAAATTAAATTTTCCCTATACGTATAAATAGCATTTTAACACGAAGAAGATTTTTTTTTCTGAAAGATTAGCAACACAATGGAATATATATAAGGAATAAAAAAATAATCCTCGCAACCCGATTGAATATGGAGTGAACAAAGGTTTTCTTTGTTTTGCAAAAAGAAAAAAAAAATACACCCTTTAATGAACTGCTTTCACACTGAGAGGAATGTATGTATGCTTAATAGGTCATTTTAGAGCAGAAAGGAGTCATTGTCTGGTCATTGTCACCTAACCATATGTTTATATAACTGTAAAAATGATCAGAACTGATAAAGTAATTAAATAGCTCTCAATATCACATCTGATTGGCATTGTTTTGGTTGGAACGACATATGATATCTGCAATTGTAGAATATTTTTGTCCAGTTATTTAGGAATGAAGTGGTGCAGCCATTAAGGAGAAACTCATGGCAAACATTATATCCTCAGAGTCTCAGTGTTACACCCACATATACATAACTTGCTCATACAGCTTCACACATCTCTATGAGCACAGATCAGCACCATTCATCTATTGAAATCATGGTAATTGTACTCATCCATTTGAAGGGTAACAATAAACTTCTGAAATTCAGTTTGTCACCCCTCCTCCATGAAAATGCTGATTGGACAATGCCCTTTCTTTTTTTCTGCAGACCTAACTGCCTTCGTTAATTTGTTTGTTCCTGTTTAGAGGCTGAACAAAATCAAACAAGAGACTGAAATGCAAAGAACAGACTCTGTTATTGCAGTGTAAGATTGTATCAGCAGATCCTGAGGCAGGCTGAACTTCCTGAGTAGATGCAGAAAGTACATCCTTTGTTGGGCTCTTTTGAGGGCTGTGTCAGTGTTGGATGTCAGATCCTAGGAATCTCAAGGTTTCCACAGTTGACAAAGAACTGTTGAGTATGGTTATAAGGGCAGTGTGTAGAGGGGGAAGCTTCTTCATAAATCCACTATCATCGTCATGGCTTTGAGCATGGTAAGGTCCAGGTTGTTACGGCTGCCCAACAGAGCCAGCAGAACTACCGTATTTCACATTGGTATGCTGACTCATCACCTTTTCAAACAAAACATCTTCACAGACAAATTCCCTGAGGTGCAATCATTGGTATAGAGGGAAAAGATTAGTGGAGAGAGCACACATCCTTGAAGAGTGCCAGTACTGTTTGGGTGCTGGATAACATTTTACCCAGCCTTATCTGCTTCTTCCTATCTGTCAGGAAGTTGGTAATCCACAGTCAGGCAGAAGTGGGCACAGTAAGCTGAGTGAGTTTGAAGTGTCTGGAGTGATAGTGTTGAGTGCCAAGCTGAAATCCACAAACAGGATCCATGTGCACATCCCAGGGGAGTCAAGATGTTGCATGTGTAGTGCAACCTCATGCTGACAGGATCCTTCGCTGACCTGTTTGTTCTGGGGTGAACTGCAGGTAGTCCAGAAGGGGACCTGTGATTTTCTTCAGGTGTGTGGACAGTAGTCTCCAAAGGCCTTCATAACTACCAACATGAGGGCAACAGGTCTGAAGTCATTTAGTCCTGTGATGGCGGGTCTCTTAGAGGGGGTGAATGGGGAACGTTTGAAGTAGGAGGGGACTTCCCATTGCTCTAGTGATCTGTTGAAGATCTATTGGTGCCATCCGACTAGCACAGACCTTCAGAAAGGAGGGTGTTATTCCATCGGGCCCCTGTGCCTTCCTTATCTTTTCTCTGTGGAAAATCTAAAACACATGCTCTTCACATACCCTCCATAGAGAGGAGACAGTGGGGACAGAAGGGGAAGGTTTCCAGGGGTATAGTTGGAGATGTGACATTTGAGGGAAAGTTGGTGGGGAATGTAACCTAGAATTAAACACATTAAGGCATGTTTCTGGTCCGGTTGAACAGAATTCCGTCCCCACTTCTGTAGGCTGCCTCTTTAGCCTGTCTGAGCTGTTTTAGTTTTGCTCGAAACCAGGGCTTTTTGAATGTTCACGCGTACACATACACACAAAAACTGATGCATGATTTCTCATGTCAGAAAGCTCATCCAAGTTTTTGGATGCTGCCTCAAAATCACTCCAGTCAGTACAGTCATAGCCTATATGGTGAACAAAGTGGTAAGAATTGTTTCTTACCATGCAGCAATGGTCCAGTGTGTTTTTGTCCCCGGTGAAACATGTAACATTTGATTTGTTAATATCACCAAGAATGATGGTAAGGGAGTCTGGAAAGGTCCATTGTATTCTGGTTATCTGTTTAGGCAGTTATTGTAGTACCTCTTTGGCTTAGGCTTGAGGTGGGATGTAAACAGCAATGCTTCCCTTCACTTACCCCAGTAGCTTTTTTACATGGTCCTCATGGTGGAAGCTTGGTACATGTAACACACTGTCCAGAATGGAATCACTGATCCAGGTTCGGTGAAGCACAGTGCAGATAATCTTAAAACGTAAGTATTTATATTGTTGAGCAGTAGTAGTACATACATTTTGTTTGTTTGGAGATATACCAGATGTATCACAGGAAGCGCAGTTCAAAATCCCTGCTGTCTGTGCTTCACCAGCAGACCAACCAACTTCCTCTGCCAGCAACTTTTGCAGGACCCAGCTGCAGCAGCTCCAGTTTAGATTGCCCCAAAAACACTTGGGGTTACTGTAGTATGCTTAGCACAATTTTCTCTGATATGACTTGAAACTGAAGTAGTTGGCATTCATCAATGTTTATGCCTTAGTTATTAAAATAACAGACTTTGCTTTTGATTTTAGATTAAACTGACCATTTTACATAATAAAACAAATTTAAAAAAGCATTGACAAAATTAATAGGACTCCTAACCTAAAGTTTTGTTGCACAACCTTTCGAGGCACACACTGCAAACAAGCAATTTGTGTAGCTCAATGAGACCTCTGCACCTGCCATCAGGTAGTTTGGTCCACTCTTCTTGAGCAAACTGCTTAAGCTGTCTCGGGTTTGAAGGGTGCTGTGTCCAGACTGCATGTTTCAGCTCTATATATAGATGTTTGATATGCTTTTAATGATAATAGTCACCAGGACAAATAATCTTCCTAGCGGTAACACAGACAGTGATACAAAACCTGATAGGTGTTCGATATTCGGAACTAAAATATTTGGCTTCATATGCAGTTAGTAAATAGTCAACCTTATTAATGGAATTTCTGACTTGTTTTATTATATTGTACTGTATGTTGGATCTACAGATATATTTACATTCATTGATGTTGTTTCTGGACCTGATTTACTAAGGTTCTAGGGTAGTTTACTAAGCTGGCAGTTTAAGGCCTGTTGCAAGGACCTGATTTACTAAACGTGAAGCCAGTATGTACATGCACTCATTAATATTAAGTATGTCACATTCTGTTTGCAAGTATTTACATTAGCATAAACCTGGAGAGACTTTCAACCCGCTGGTTTACACATTTTACTTTAATTGGCATTCCTGCACCCAGCTTGGCTATATTTTATGCAGTGGCATATGTAGATACTCCTGAGACTTTCTAGACAGTCATAACTGGCAGGCACCTCTGATAAGCCTGTGCAAAAGTTCCCTCTTGCTGTTTAGAAATGTTATGTTTTTGATCAATTTTATTTATATTTTTAAGTGTATAAACTATTGTTCCTATATTGTTTAATTGCTATATGAAATTTTTTATTTTACATATAAGGATATACTGCTCAATGCACCCAGGTTTTTCTGAGGACTGCCTTAAAGTGATATTAAAGTCATAAGGTTTTAAAGCTATTTTAAATGTTGATCAAATCACTTACAATGGGAGCTGCTCCATTGTTTAAAAGTTTTAGTTTGCTGAAGAATCAGCTGTCCCCCTAAGCACTGGCCCTGATATCCTGTTTTAGATGGCTCCTTTCCCTTTCAGGGTCTTATGGAGCCAAAGACATGACAAGGCTAGCCATTCCCCTCACCCTGCTCCCCTTTGCTCTTCCTCCCTCCTTCCTTGTCCCTTCTCCAAGCTAGTAGATGTACAGCTGCTGAGGATTGTGCACTTCCTTGTGATCTTCTACTGGACAGGAAGTTTAGAGAAGTCGAGATGAGAGAGCGGGAGCCAGATGTTCAGAAACCTAACTGTAAGGGCTTTGCGAAAAAATGTAAAGAAATATTTTTCTGGGCAATGTATATTTGTTTGATCTGGATTCACTATTAAAAAAGTTTGGGAGTTTAATACTACTTTAATTGACTAGTTACGCCATCTTTTGTAGTCTATCACAGGAGCGAGAAAAATATATATCAAAGCGCTAAAGGTATAAATAATATGAAACTTAGTGCAACCAAGTGATATAGTGAAATTAGGGTTTAGGCGGTCTAGCCCTAAACCAAGTGATATATCTTACATAGGATCATGAAAGAAACAATTAAATTAATAATTCAATTGTGCTGTGGAAAAACAGATAGTGATTGGGACAATAAAAAAATTTCAACCACTGTGTAAAGACATCAAAATATATAACAATATATGAACGATCCACGCAAAAAAATATATTAAAAAACGTTAAAAATAAAGTGTTCAGTGAGAAATAAACGTAAAAACTTAAAAAACGTGTGCAAGAGAAATTGTTAATGATATATAGTGTTGATGATAAATATTTCTTAGCGGTGGTCCGACAGCCCCTCTTGGGTGGGTACTCACCAAATGGAGCTGGATCAAAGGCTTTTAGTTAGTGACACTTGAGCCTGCAATCGTGCTTTCAAACTTGGACCCAGTTGTTTCCACTCTCAGTCCCTGCAAGGTGAGTGTTTGATTTTTCTCCATTCAACTTTAAATGCCAAAGCATGTTCTGCCCACTAAAGTTTTGGCATTTGACAGTTGAATACAGGGACATGGGGTGGGGTTTAACACAACCTAGGCAGCAGTGTAGGCCTGTATGGCCCATGTACATGATAGCCCTTTAGGGCCCATGTCTAGGATACAAAGACCCCCCCCCAGGACACAGAGACCAATCTGATAAACAACACAGCTACGTGTCTGCACTTCAGCACTGATGTTACCTTAAAAAAAAAAATCAGGCTAGGTCAGATTTACTTTACGTTCATTTACAGCTGATGTTTACAAAATGCGGTATTTCACTAGAGAACATTCCATTATCAATACAACTCATGAAGCAACAGGCAGGCAAATGCAAGTTTACAAAGCAGCTCATAAAGTTAGCCGACCTGTGACAATGAGACTGTCACAGGTCGGCTCAGTAGATCGGGAGGTGAGCGAACACATACTGGCGTTCGCTCACCTTTCGATCCTGTCACGGCTCTCTGCCGTGACAGGGGAGGGGCTGGATTCCCCCCTCTACGCTCCGATCCGCCAGGGCTGACTGGTGGAACGGACGGGAGAGGGGGCAGGTACAGCTGACTCTGCCTCTAGATAGGCAGAGCCAGCTGTCAGTCACGCAGCTGGGCGGTTCCAGACATAATTGTCGGGATCCGCTTCAGCTGCCGGGTCTTAGTATATCTGCGAGCAGTAGCTCGCTGTATACTGCGCCTGGGGTGACGGGAGGACGCTAGTTTGTGTCCTCCCGTTACCCTAAGGAGAACTATGGGGAAAAGCCTTAACCCCATAGTTCTCCTTTAACGCCCAACTAGAGCCAACAAACCATATAATAACATATATGTGTCATTGTTCCAGGGTGGCTTTGGCATCTTCAGTGCATATCAGTGAGCAAAGGGTAAAAATGGTGCAAAATACTGGGACATCTGTACCAACCGGAGATGGTTTTAATGTATTTTACTTGAGCTTTGTTAGAAAAAAAACAGTTTGCGGGACAAAAGAAACGTTTTTTCCAGTCCTCAGTTGGTGGGGAAATACCTAGTTTTATGACCATTTTCTGTATACTTAGGAAAAAATTGTGAAGAAGGTTCTCAATGGGGTTGGTTGAGATTAAAGCGTGGATTTGTGAAGGGATGAGTTGAGAAACAACTTTATTTGTTGGTATGCCAACCACAGAAGTGGGTTCAAAATAATATTCAACATGGTCGCATACATGGGTAGTAGAGATCCGTTGTGTGAGATTTGTGTCAAGCGGTGGAGAGTTGTCAGAATATTAGATTGTGTTAGAGGGTTAGAGCTGGTGGGAAAGCTGGGTTACCAAACAGAGAGGTCATTGGTTTTACAATAGATGAAATTTGAAGTATGAGAAAGTGTCTTGTGTAAGCAGGTCATGTGTAAGGATGATTAATGGAAATTGATTATTCCTAAATCTGGAATCTAGCCACAATAAGGATTGGAGATCAAATGCAGCAAGCCATTTTTCTATAAAGAACAACTGTTTGGGGGATTGACTGTGGAATCAATCCAACAGTTGGTAAGGAGGTTGCTATGCTGGGGGAGAGGAAGACGTTTAGAGATTTGGATTTAGAGTAATTGACCTGGCAGTTGCTTTGAATGTCAAAATGTTTAGCATATAATAAAATAACATCTGCTAATAATATTTTATTTGGTGGGGGCAAAAATTGATACTAGATTATGAGTGGTTTTGTCTAAAGCAACGCCTAAGTGTTTCATTATTGGAATTTACAGTATTGGGGGCACTCCTGATGGGTACCATTCCGAATATCAACTTTTTAATATTAGCTCTCTGTTGTATGAGGATTCCTCTGAGCACTTATTTCAAAGCTTCCTATTTAAGGAAATGGCGTGTTTTTGCATGGCGTGTTTATGGCGTGTTTGTGAGGTTAGTAAATCAACCCCACGGTGTCCTGAGCAAGGTCAGGGATAAAATTGGTGATTTTATCTGATATGGTTTGGTGGAAAGAAGGATCAAATAAGAGTGTCATTGAGGTGCTATGTCCATTTGCACTGCAAGGGTGAGCATAATCGGAAAATGGTCCGACCATATTAATGATCCAATGTTGACTGAGGGGTTTCATTTGAGGGTATGATAGCTAGAAAAAAACAGTCTGTTTGCCTACATGACTGGTGTGTGGCACAGTAGAAACTATAATTGATAACTGATTGGTGGAGGATAATGTGGTTTAAGGAGGTGAGAGAAGAAGAAAAAAGTGGTCATGGGGAGGTTAGGAGAAGAGGGAAGGATGTGAAAGTAACGGATAATACAGGGGAGGTGGGAACAAATAAGGGGAGGGTACTAGTTGAGGTTTGAGAAAAGAGAGCCTGGGGACTCTATCTTTAAAGGAATTAACATGGTTCACAAGAAATTTCAACATGGAAACTGGATAGCCTACTGCGTGAGTGTGTGCACGCAAAAGGTGAGCTAAGTCTCGCAGGGGGCAGTGACACGGTAATATAACAACATACAACTATGGCTTGACAAAAAAGTTGAGGAAATAACCACTGCACATTAGTAGACAATATATTGTAGTGGGGACCTTAAACAATATAAACAGACAGAGAGAGTCCATAGTCAAAGACTTGAAAGGAACTGAGTAAGCTCTGAAAACAACAATATAGTTACAAAAGGTTGAACAAGACAACAATATCTGAACAGTATAAGGGTTGGTGAACTCATAAGTGGAAACTGAAGGCCGGAGGGAGAGTAAGTCTCCCCGTGCACTCTGGAAGATTCTAATATGTGTAAAAGTCAAAGAGTATAAAACATATAAAGAATAATGATGCTGTGGGAAAGGGCTTCTAAGATTCGAGGCAACACAATTAGAAAAAAGAAGCTTCTGCTTTAACCTGTACCCTAATCACAAATAATAGGAAAATGCAGGGGTAAATGCTAGTCAAGGTCGCCATCCCCCATAGCACCTCCTCCTATGAACATAGCAAAGCTTCAGATTTGTAAACACAATATTAATAAATATAAAGGATGTAGGTAATGCAGTTATAGGACTACCATATAAGAATATCTCCAGGATATTGTTCTGGTGGTTTTTATTTTCAATGTCATCATGTAACCTGAATAAAGTTTGAATATGGGCGTCTTGGGCATATACTTGGTTTGCTCAGGCTGCCACAACTTCAGTTAGAATAAAGCAGAACGATTCAAGTTCAACAGTTTTAGAGTGTATGGTAGTGATATCAGCTTTCAGACTGGATTTTAGCCTTGTGGCCGGACTCCAGTTATTGGATATACCTTTCCATTTCAAATGTAGCCTCTCTCCATTAGATTAGTGAGACTAGAGAGATGAGGGAGAAGCTGGATGATCAGTAGTCACATCC